CTTCACAATGTAATGCTGGGTTTGATGAGACAGTGTGTGTCTTATGGAGTTTGACTGATTTTGATAATAGTCCCAATGTCTGCAGAGGCATGAGAGGCAATCCAATAGTTGATTTTGGGAGTGTGGTTGTCAATGTGTGCATTGCACTGACTGCTGGTAACTCTGTGCTGGGAGTTCCATCTTCACCACATGACAATGATACTGAATCTATGGAACGCATAGAGCTGATGGCTATTGCAGCTGTTGAAGTGGGATCCAATATCCAAAGGAAACTTCTTGAAGACCTAGAAAGGAGATAAAAATTAGCTTAAGTGTCTCTCCCAGCCTCCTGTTGTTACATAAACAATTCAATCTCTTATAAATATGCAGTTATGTAACAACAGACTTTGTACTTGAAAGCTATGACACAATATGCCCTACTAAATGTTGTTAGAAAATAAACATTAACTTTCGGGGCATATTCACTGAGCATTATTCACACCCATTCAATGCAAGAAAGGCCAGTAACTGACTATAGTGACAGAAGACTTAGCATTCCTACATTATATTCAGAAGGCCCCATGTGCAATTTCATCCAAATTTAATTTTCCACAGTCTGTTCAAGCAGATGCTGGATCAGTACCTTGAAATACACTGTGACTCTATCACTCCACCTCCTTTCACATTTACAAACATCTACCCAATCCATGATACATAACAATTTAAAGAATCATCATTAAATAAAGTAAAAATAAGAAAAATTCCAGAGGAGGTCCCCCAAAATATTCAAAAGAATGATTATGTCAAGCTCAGGTTCTTGGTATTTTCAAAGTTGTGGTTTAAAAACAAAAGTATCTATCATTCAACTACATTCAGTAAGTTGTTTATCAGAAATGTTTGATCATGATTAAGGACTCACCACTGTGACATAATTCGCTAGTTTCTGAACGTTGGTGTGAATGCAGTGACTAAATGTTAATATGAATTATGTTAAGAACTATGGTAACTTAAACCAGTGGCTTCTAACACCTTCTGATTCATGCAATTGCAAACATTAGTGAGCCTAAAAGGTATTAATATTGCAGTGAATATTTCTCATCAATACTAATGAAGAGGGAGGAAAACTAAAACCTTAGCTTAGCATAATGACTTTTGATTATGACAATGGTAGGAGGAAGCTATAAGGAATACTAACACAATGATAGATTTTAAGGAAATATGTAATGATAATGGGTAGCACAGGAAGTAGCTCAGGATTCTGATTGGCTTTGGTGTTAACAATGTTGAGTCTCTGTGTTACTGCATGCTAATATCAAATGACAAGGATCTAATACACACAAACAATCAAATAATGATTTTGGCACTTCTACAGAGTGAATGAGACCGATACAAAGATATCACAGAAAGGATAATTACAGAGAAGAAGAACAAAGGGTAATTCCTGACTATCTGCAGTGGTGTATTTTTAATTGATCCATGATGGCATGAAAGATATCCAGATGTCTGTTCACATTACTACCTCATAATTACAACTCGTTGTGGGCATTTTTATAGTATTTATAAAGAACAAATCAACAGAAAACATACTGGATCACAACAGACCTCAAAGAACCTACCTCAACAACTCAATTGGTGTGGGAGATGATTGGTGAAAATTAATTAAATGAATCTGATCACTTATCCATCATAGTCATCAAAGCTTTGCTTTGGTGACTGCAAGTCCAGTAACATCCAGCAACAAAAATCGATCAATAAGGCAAAATGAGATATGCTGTTTTCACAGCTGTTAAAATGTGTACTACAACATGTGTTGTGAAACTGTCTGGTCTTGTAGGTGGTTACCAACACTTCAGATGAGCATATCACCTGAACTTCATTTTGACACTGAAGAAGAAGGTGACACATTCCTCTGAATAACTGGTAATTACCTACAAGACCACATCCACCATCAGTTTTGATTTATTTTAAACAGCCTTAAAAATCATGTGTCCAAATATCGGGAATAGCCTGGCCAACCAGACCCAAAACAGTAGGTGTCTCACTCTATACCTGACGTCAAAGGAAGATCAATCCTTCAAAATATTGTAATGTTTAAGATATTTAGAAAAACTCTCAACAAAGAATCAAAAAAATTCAAATTAAAGAAATTAGTAAGTTTGATCTTGTCCTGGAAAGTTCTCATGTGTCATATATTATTATCAATTCCAGAATGAACCCTTATGTGTCTGATAAGCTCATAATTGGGTCTCAAAGCTTCATTGGGAATATAACACTCACAAAGGCACTCTGTGGTATAGAATATTCTGTGTTTTGAAAACCTGTAACACTAGGAGAACATTCCTTCACAAATTTTACATGTACACTTATTTGAAAAGACAAGAGACTTCAAGAGTTGTACAATTTTGTTGGTTTTGAACATTTTGCTGAAGACTGTGCATGTAAACTGGAGTGTGCTATGTGATTTCAAGAACTTGGAAACTGTGCAAATGCACATAATTTGCAATGCTGTCTGCTGTTTTTAGTCATTAGTTAACAACTTACACAAAATGTAACTTGAAAAATGTTCACAGAATGAGAACTCTAGTATCTCCTTAAGAAAATCACTCCTCTAAAAAGACAATTCTTAAAAAGAACTAGTCTCACACAAAGTATGACATAACAGTAAAATCACGTCGTAAAAGTTGATTAGAGAAGCCTTTCACATGAGAAAACTGTACATTATTTATACAATTACTAAGCAATAAAGTTAGTATAAAAGTTAATCTCAGTAAACAGGGTCACAAAACTTGATTAAAGCATGACAAGAACCTCTCTGTACTCTCCAGCTGTTGGTGAAAATTGCATTGACACAGGCACATCATAATAGTCTTTTGAAAAATACATTAATGCAGGGCAGTATAAACTATACATACAAAACATCACATATAGTGATGACAACATAAACAAGAGCAAGGAACACCTTATGCACTGCCCCATGTCTATTCTGAGTTTCTTCTATGAGGTTACAGAACAATATTCCACAATGGTTAAATATATTCTTGAATAAAGGAGTGAAACATTTATGTACTACTGTAACACTGCTTTCTGAGGTATAACATTTGTGTTTCATGTTGAACAGTGCGCTATAAAGGATCAACTACTTTTTCAAGACAAACAAATAATTCCACTTCATAATGTGTTTACTACACAAGGAGATCTTTACCACTAATTCACTAAAATATACATATTGAAAGTTCATGGGCACATGTATGAAAATACTGATTACATTCACATCTTGCATTAATTGCAATCATACTGAGAAAACTGAAACTATGAAACTGGCAGACAGATAATAATCCTCACTTTCAATTCTGACATTTGCCTGGTCCTCTGTGAAATGTATCACAGGATTCTTCTCTGACTTAGTGCTTCACTGGTAAATGAGTTCAGAAGATGGCTGGGTGTCTTCTGGGTTGTGCTGTGATAGACGCAACAAGCTCATCTGAAATGTTGGTAAACTTGTACCAGACTAGCCCAGAAAACAGGCATCTTCATAATCATACATGAGAACATCAAATCTCAATTAATAAAGAAGTTTAAGCCAATCACTGGTCTTGTTGCATACAATAAATCAACATAGCATACAAAAGTGGTTAGCAAGGATAAGGATTGTTGGATGTGCAAAATAACATAAATCACAGAGATTAGAATATACTATATTTTTAGACAGTCCAAATATAATAAAATGCCATATAACAAGCTACATAAACAAAAGAACTGGAAACCACATCATGTATTAGCTTCTGTGTCATTCACAGTCACAAGCCATCTACAGTTTACCTTCATTATGTGTTCTTTGAATAAAGTGCATGAGGAGAATGCATATAGGAATGACCATGTAGGTTTGTCTGTCCATCCACCTGCCTGCTGCCATGATTCAGCTTGGTAAACATGGTAACAAACATAACCATGCCGGCCAAGGCAGCCAAAGTAATCATGGCAAACCTTAATAACAATGATTTGGTTTGGTTTCATGTGTTCAATGTAATGATAATCATAAATAACTAACCAACTAACTAACTAACTAACTAACTAACTAACTAGATGGCTTACAGAATCCGACTTACTGAAAGCCGCTCCCTCACTCTTGCTACTACCAGATAACGGTCAGTGTCACAAACTGCTCCTCTGAATGACCTCACATCAATTATATTTGTCTATCTTTTATTATCTACTAAACGTTGATCTATTTGATTGTGTATGCTACCATCTAGAGGAGTCCAAGTATCACAAATAGCCAGTGTATATGAGTTAGTTCAAACAATTTAACCAACTAACCAGATGTCAGAAGGAAGTGAAAAACACTATATGTAGAAACAATTAAATAGTTTCACAGTTATCTCAAGTTTTCCTTGAGTTCCTATTAGCTGGATGCTACATGAATATTTCATGGACTGAACACTCCTTATGCATGTTTACAAACAATAGTAACAGCTGTTTATTTTCTTACTGATCACTCGTCCCAGTAAATGAATGGAAAACTTCTGATATTGTTTAACATTTTCATGAAATGTGATACTGATGTCCCCTACTAAATGCATCTTGGGTCCTACAAGGACAATGTGCTACTGCACCAAATATACTCTTTTAAACATACCACATGTAACTATTAGATACACAGAAGTGCCTTATAAAAATATGTAATACATTTTTTAAAATATACATCTCTCATTCTGAGGGAAGAACACAGATTGCAGGTGTTTTAGAATGGGGTGTTGAGGATATTTGGGCCTAGGAGAGAAGAGGATGGGACATGGAGAAAACTGCATATTGACGAGCTTAAAAATCTGTACTCCTCCCCCAATATTGTCAGGGTGATTAAGTCGAGAAGAATGAGATGGGCGGTTCATGTGGCACCCATGGATGGGACAAGAGGTGTGCACCGGGTATTGGTTGGGAAGCCTGAGGGGAAGAGACCGCTGGGGAGACCTAGACATAGATGGGAGGATAATGTCAGGCGGGATCTATGGGAGATAGGAGTTGAAGGAGACTGGATTTTGTTGGCCCAGGACATGGAGGGTTTTGGTTAATTCGGTGATGAATCTACAGGTTCTGTAAGCCATCTAGTTAGTTAGTTAGTTAAACAATTTTCAAGAACATCACAGATGAGGAAAGGGATGAAAAGTTCAAAGAGCTTAGGGTACCTCTGAATTTTTGTGTCATTGCTGAATGATCACACTTACTGTCACATGGTGTATAAGATATGGACACTGCAACTAACAGTTACCATCTCAACAGTATTATAATCATCATAATGTAAAGGTAGGTAAAATTCACTCAAAGAACTGAAATGTATAATACAGTTTTATATGTACTAGCTTCGTATTTAAGTATACAGCATTTCAGTACTAGTTTCATAAGTTTCTACAAGACAATTTGAAGTGGAAGAGGAAGAATGTGGTTAGGTAGTGTTTATTGCATGTACTAATCTGACATTCATCAGGAATGTTTGAGCAACATCATAAAAATGCTCAGAATGGTTGATACCCAAAAGATACTAATGAAAATTTTTACAAAGTTTAATAAAGTGAGGCACATAAAAAAGGTTTACCAGATTAACACCATATCAAAAATCACAAAAAGCACAGAACGCTTATAATATCCCAAGAAAAATCACGAAAAAACACAAGTTTAATATGCTAAAAACAATAACAAAGATAAGTACCCTGGCTGAGAACTGAACTGAATACCTCATAAATAAAGCCACATGAGCTATTGCTGAGCTAATCTACTGGCAAAGCTGAATGACATCAAATCCAGGTGACAGATTTTATCTGATAACATCAATCACTTTTTCATATATGTCATGCACAGTCCTTGCAAAAGACATGAATGTAACATAATATTGAGTCCAGGTACATTACCTGACAGATACTATGCACTAGCCAATGCCAATTTGACAGAACTAAAATGATGACACTACAATTTTAGTCCAAACAAACTCACTGACATTATGAAGTATTCATTCATGGCCCTTGATATGTACGTTCAGTTGTGTCTTGGTAACAAAGGTCTTGTTACACAAGTCACATTTGTATGGACGCTCCCCGGTGTGGTAACGCATGTGAACAGACAGTGATGAGCTCTGTGTGAAAGATTTACCACATTCTATGCAGGTGTAGGGCTTTACACCAGTATGGGTTCGATTGTGAACACTCAAATACTTTGAAGAATTGAATGCTTTACCACAGACATCGCACACAAAAGGTTTCTCCCCTGTGTGGATGAGTCGATGATTTCGGAGGGACACTCCACATGACAATGCCTTTCCACAAATATCACAGATATAGTTAGCCTCTCCTCTGTGTGACCGCATATGATACAAGAGTTTGCTCTTAAAGGGGAAGCCTTTCCCACATATTTCGCATGGAAAGCGTTTTGTGTTTCTCTCAGGATCATGAATCTTCCTGTGAAGTACAAGTTTCTTCTTCTCTGGAAATTCCTTCCCACAGGTTTCACACTTGTATTTCTCCCCTCTGTGGTACCCACCCAGGTGTCCCTGGTAATCAACATTCTTGTAAAAACCTTTCCCACAAAGTTCACATTTGAATCTGTATTCTTGAAAATGTCTATTTCTGTGGAATTTCAGACTTGATGCTGATCCACTTGCGTGCCCACAGATATCACATATGTGAGTCTTAACTCCTGTATGGCGTTTTTTATGTGCCAAGAGTTCATAGCTTCTCTTACATTTCATGTTGCAAAGGTCACATGCATATGGACGTTCCGAGGTATGTGATACCATGTGTTTTGTTAGCAAATTCCTTCTTGGGTACACCTTCTCACAAACAGTGCATTGGAACTTGTTTGGAGACACATGGAGTTTCATGTGGACATTCAATTTGTATTGGCTCTTGTACATCTGTGTGCACAATGAACAGGGGTAAGTTTTGATGTCAAATTTTTTAATATTCCCTGAAGCCACACTGTGAATATCTTCTATTCTTATAGCAGAGACTGTGGAATCTTCCTTTTGTATAGCAAAGCTGTCAGGTAATTCTACAAGAACGATGTCATCAGGTATCCACCTGGAAAGGAGATAGACATATTGTGCTAGAATTACTCTTTTTTTAATAAATGCTATCAAAAACCCCATACATACATATATGTGTGTGTGTGTGTGTGTGTGTGTGTGTGTATATATACATGAATACACACACATGTATGAGATATGCAGTAAATAACAAACAGTTGTTTGATGTAAGACTCTCGGGCAACCATTCAGCCACCTGACACAGCTTGTTGCCTGATAGTCTTTCATCAACTTCATTCACCGTGAAAGCTTCACCTTATAAAACAGTTCTTTGTTGACATGCATGGCTAATATTGTACTAAATTTAGCAAACCAAGGATGGGTCACACTTGTCATGATATAAAGAGATTTTATATATGAGTAAAATTTTTAATGTAAATACAAATTATATTATTGTTTGGTCATTTGACATGCAGCTTAAAAACCACAATTCTGAAACTGAGGTCCAACAAATGGTTTAGAAATTAGTGCAACTGAACATGATTCAGATAGAAGACAAAAGCTACATGTGATTAGCGCGACAGTAGCAAGAGCCCATTATTCTGAAATGGAAGGAAAGACTTATGGAATGTAGTCAAGAAGAAAATGAAGTGAATGAGAAAAATGACCTTGTACTGGGGATAATGGGAACAGAATTGCAGGTATGAGAAAGACAAACAAAATAATCTGTGACAAGGGCAAAGATTATTTTTATGGACCAAGGTCTTCAAACAAAAGTGCGATGGAAAAGATTAAATCCTGAAAACAATGTATGTCCTCCATCAAAATGTTCAAAGCGTAGACAATACATCGATAAAATTATGGTTGGGTTTATAGTCACATCAATTACTCTGGCTATTAACGTCTGATAGAATTATAAAATTTGCCTGGTTCTCTAAAAAAGGAATGTATTAGAAGCTTCTTTTTTTATCTCTTGTTACATAAGTGAACAATATATCATCAAATAATGCTTGAAGCCTATGAAAGGTCTCTGTTCAATACCAGTCTCCTCACCATTGCAGGTGAAGGTGCACAAACATTAGTCTCATAATTGATACAAGGATGTCACACATCATTCTGCAAGGTTACAGGAACACTATGTTGGACATACATGACATTTCAGAAGCTGACTTTACAGGAACACTATGTTAGACATACATGACATTTCAGAAGCTGACTCTACTCCCATCTTCAGGTGACTGGTAGCCATGATACTGAATTATCATCATCATTATTATTAAGGGCAGCCACGATTGAATCTGGGACCTTTCAAATGCTTGGTTTAAAGAGTACTATCAAATAACCAGTATGATGCTTAGGGAGTTGATTCTACTCCTGTCTTGGAGGTCCAATATGATGTTCCTATAATAAACCAAACATTATCACAAATCTTCAGAGAATCATTTGTGAGACCAGACACACGTAAATTTGTTTTAACTGTTTTCACACATTCCTTACAGCAAAACGTTTACATATGTTAAACAGTCCAACAATCTAATAACAGGTGCACATCTTTCAATCACATTTTGAGAAGCCAATGGTACTTATGTGTGAGAGTGCCCATTTAGATTTATTAGGCTGTTATCAACTAGTGAGTATACAAGTGAACCAATCAAGTTACAGAAATTAAATTTTAGCAACATAATGAAGATACGTCTGGAATTATGAGAACTCGCAGACATCCTTACCATCAGCCTTCATCATGGTTCAACACATCCAAATATCAGAACCTGGGCAGGTATTTACTAAAAAATTTACATTAATATGGAAACAATAACAAATTATGAAATAACAAACAAAATTCCAAAAATATATCTAGAAACAAATCTATAAGATTCAGAACATTAAATTTCAAACTGATTAGATGAAGATCCAACATTGCAATATCCAACAGAACCATGTTGTTCTGATGAGACATAAATATCAAGTGAAATCAATCAAGTGGACAATTCACAAATTAACCCAATGTGTCCACCTGGAGATTATATCACCTGTGATACTGTAACACTACTATCTCATTTAATCTAGCGACAACATGAGCAACAAAGTTCTTACAATCAACAATACTGTTCTTCAAAAAATTATTTTACTTTATTATCCTTCACATCCGGATACCTTCATTTAAAAACACAATCTCTATAACATGCTTAATTATTTTCACCAGAGAACAGTATCCCAAGTTCTCTGTATATGGGGCTAGGCAACTTAAATTGGCTCCCACATACTCAGGGACTGCCAAAATTATATGCTGTTAGCAAGGAATAGTATTGAAGGATATGTGAAATAACAGAAAACACACAGATCAGAATATGGTATACAATTTATCAGTATCAAATTTAGTATGCGCTACATAAGAAGCTACATATTAAAGAAAAAATGGTGAACCACATCTTGTAGCATCTTCCCTATATTATTCACTAACAAGAACCATATACATTTAACAGTTAATTTACAAAGAATAGACACAATTCACATGTTTAACATTCTGGCCACACAAATTGGAAATCTATATTGTGTGCTGATGACTGCTTTGACTTCTCATCCATTCTACATCACTTCTAACTGGCCTGAACTGAAAAGTGGGTTACTTAAAAATTCTGTATAACCACATACAATATACAGCAATATAATTGCAAAGGATGTGCATGGAAGTGATTGTGAACCTTTTAGAAGTATGCCAGCATTAGCCTGAAGACATTTAGAAAATCATTAAAGGCCAAATCAGATAGGAAAACCAGTCTCAGGGCTGATATGTGAATCAGTGATTTCTACAATATGAAAGAAAATTCAGTATAGGCCTAATTTCTGTCTTGTTTAATGACAAAGACTGCAATAGCAGCAGGTTACATAAAATATGATTGCCATCTGACGGATCTGGATATTCATCCTACTCCATAGAACAAATAATCAGACCCTCTAAAAAAAATCAAGAATTTGTAGATGACTTCACGAAGGTTGCATTAAACATCTGTAACAGCAAAGAACACCTGCTGCATACAAGCAATGCCTTCTGTATTATAAAATATAACATAATGTTTCCTTGCAGAAGAATAATATAGTATAAGTACTGACATTTTATTGGTGTATCATTATAAAAACTGAACATTCTGATACGGAACTTGCCATATTCCAGTCTTTGTAGATTGCAGAATAAGCATAACACAAATGAAAACTGACTTCCATTTCTCTTAATCATACTGGATGTCATTTAATGATGATAACACAATACAATAAAAGGTAAGAAGTTAATGGGGTTTCAGACATTTTCTAGGTTCAAATTCTGCATAGGAAATGCTGTAATACATTACACAACATTGGAAAGTGTACTCTTTGAAGAACACTGACATCCCAAAGGTGTTCTACATGCCAATCACATAGGTCATTGTTAAAATAATGGGATTCAAGGTGATTCTTCTATCATGAGTCATTCTCATACCAATGTGATCCTAGGTGGTAGCTGTGCAACAATGGGAACCATTCGATCCTACTGCTGATCAACATTCGGTTCGAACATTAATAAAACTTGGATTCAATTGTGTTCAATGGGTTCCAAGAATGGGATGTATCCCATTGTTGCCAAAATGTGACAGACACAGACATGGATGGGCCCATAAGCTCCTGTTCATTCATGGTAAATCATGAAGAACACATAATAATGGAATTCCAGAATACAAAAGAACTATATAAAGATAAATCTGCACATCATAAAAGAAAAAAAAAATGCTTATATTCTCTATTATGGCTGAAGGCTTGAGAAAACAACATATCATATGAGTAATACCCTCAGATCTGTAAGTGCCATGGCTCCCAGAAAATAACATGTCCAGTCAATACTTACAATAAAGGAACAAACCTTATAGTTAGCTAGCTATACATGCCAAGGATTGCACAACATTTGCCGAGCTAATAAGTTGAACCCATGAGTGATAAATATGTTTCACATTCAGGAGGTACATGGTTTGGACTAAGTCAGGGTATGATTATTTGGACTGAGCTAATTACAGATACCCTTCACTACAGGAATGATAAAATCCTTCAGTTTCAATATAAAAGTAAAATATCATAAATGAGCAAACAGGTAATGAATGCAATGTAAGTACCAGTAAACTCAATTACAAAGTAAAGCATTCAGTCATGGTTCCTGACATGGGTGTTTAGTAGTGTCTTTGTAATAAATACCTTGCCACACAACTCACACTTGTATGGCCGTTCCCCTGTGTGATAGCGCATATGTATAGACAGTGATGAGCACTGTGTAAAACCCTTGCCACACTGTTTGCAGATGTAGGGCTTTACACCTGTATGGGTTCGCTTGTGAACATTCAAATAGTTGGAAGAATTGAATGCTTTACCACAGACATCACACGAAAAAGGTTTCTCCCCTGTGTGAGTACGTTGGTGTGTTCGGAGGGACACTCCACATGACAATGCCTTTCCACAAATATCACAGATATAGTTGGCTTCTCCCCTGTGTGACCGCATATGGCACAGGAGTTTGCTCTTAAAGAGGAATCCTTTCCCACATATTTCGCATGGAAAGCGTTTTGTGTTTCTCTCAGGATCATGAATCTTCCTATGATACACAAGTTTCTTCTTCTCTGGAAATTCCTTCCCACAGGTTTCACACTTGTGTTTCTCCCCTCTGTGGTACCCGCCCATGTGTCCCTCATAGTCTGAATTTGTGTAAAAACCTTTCCCACAAAGTTCACATGTGAATCTGTATTCTTGTAAATGCCTCTGTCTGTGAAACTTGAGATTTGTAGCTGATCCACTTGCATGCCCACAAATATCACATATGTGAGTCTTAACTCCTGTATGGCGTTTTTTATGTGCTAAGAGTTCATAGCTTCTCTTATATTTCATGTTGCAAAGGTCACATGAATATGGACGTTCCGAGGTATGTGATACCATGTGTTTTGTAAGCAAATTCCTTCTTGGGTATACCTTCTCACAAACAGTGCATTGGAACTTGTTTGGAGACACATGGAGTTTCATGTGGACATTCAATTTGTATTGGCTCTTGTACATCTGTGTGCACAATGAACAGGGGTAAGTTTTTATGTCAATTTTT